ATAAATCCCACATCTGTCAATCCCTCCACAAACCCCTCCCCACAAACACCCCAACCCCTACACCCACCCACAAACCCAACACCCATCCCCACACCCCTTCCCCACTCTTTCCTGGAAACCCCACATCCCCCCCACAAATCTAACACCCTGCATACCCAGCCACCAAAATGGAACCTGCTGGAAGGAGCCACAGCTACAGGGGAAGCTGCAGCACTGCCCCATTCCCACACTGGTGCTGGGGCAGTCAGCCCCAGCCTGGGGGAGCTCCTGGTTCCAGGGACAATTTGGGGGTTGCCCAGCCCCAGTTGAGGACTTCCTAGGAACAACATGGGGATCACTGGGACCTGGGCACAGGCACAGGGAGCAGTACAGTAAAGGCTGGCAGTCCTCAGAGCCACAAAGCAGCAGGTGGAACAGCTACAACTGGACCCATGTCCTCGTGTTGGGATGGAGCTGCTGCCAGGAGGGAGTGAGTGGGGGGCAGGCAAGGTCTCTGGGTCAGGAGTGAGGGGCACTGGTGGGGCTATGGGTTGCAAATGAGGGACAAGGGCATGGGCAGGGGCAGGGCACTGGCATATCAGTGCTGCTCAGCACCACAAAGCAGCTGTTGGACCAGCTGCAGCCATCCCCACATACTGGTGAGCAAAGGGAGCAGGAGCAGCTCTAATTTTTCTATGACAAAAAATCCAAAAGCAAACACCAAAATGTATAGATATTTAGAATTTATTTTATTATGATGACAGAGGCTTCCAAATTGCTTTAAAATTGTAAATATATCAATAAAACATTGCCCAACTTATCTCTCTATATATATATTGGGGTTTCATCTTAATCACAGAAAAATGTAGATTTGGGGTATTTTAATGAGAGAATTTGGGTTTTCTTATAAGAGAATTTGCAATTTTTAAACAGGGAACACCAAGACTCCTGGCCATTTGGGGCCAAAAGGACACACTTCAACAATTCAAAGCAGGCCACCACAATGCACACATATTCCAGGTAATAGCTGCCCATATAGCAGAGCAGGGGCAGTAAAGAAATGGCAGCAATGCAACACAAATGCCAACTGTGCACCCAAGGCCCATTGTCAGCTGGCCCAGAGGTGCAGGTGCTTCTGCTACAGTGCCCATACCACATCCCAGATGGCTGCAGGTCACAGATGGCTTCAGATTTTGCCACAGGTGGCAGCAGGTCACAGCAAGTCAGCAGCCCCAACGGCCAGACTGCTGCAGTGGGTAGAGGGCACAGGGGCCACTCTAGGTTAGGAATGTTCCAGGAGTCCAGTTGGCACAAGGGGTAGTGTTCCCATATACCAACTGACTGGGCCTCAGAAGCTCCTAAGGGCAAGTAGCTCTGAGTTGCTTGCCAGGGCAGCTTTTTATATTGCTGGGCCCGGCACAGGTGCTGGCACCAGCCTCTAGCTGCTCCTGGGTGAAGATCCAGCAGATGGGCAGGATTATTTTGCCCCAAGTGGCAAAATTTGCCCCTCACCAAAGTACATGTTCAGGCATGTGTACTGAGGCACAAATCTCTGTCACAAATTTGTGCCACTGCTACTTGAGCTGCTGCAAGTGCACATGCCTGCATGTTTGGACATGCCCTGTGTGTAATACACATGAAAGCAAGTTCTATCTATATATCTACAACTACTGCACTCTCAAAATTATGTTAAAAGAATAATTGAAATTGCCAAGTGAAGCACTCTGACAACTCAGGTGGCTGTTGAATTATATTTCTGTTTTCTTGTTCCTTTACAGTAAAAAGGATCATTGTGGGATTGGGTCAAGCAGAAGCCAAAACCGAGATGAAATTGTGAGAGCTGGCAATTCCAGCAATGGCGTTCCCTTCTGAAGCTACCTGATTGTGCAAATAAAGTGTGACAGATTTTTCCCTAGTATAACTGCAGTTATACCAGGGTTCAGTTTGGCCCTAGAGGCCTAGATAAGCATGTAAAGTTTGGAATACATATATAGACTGAAAAGAACTAGTTTTTCCCTATGTTTCATTAAAAACTGTATGTTCCTCTGAATGGAGAGGGATGGTTAGCTGGGTTACTCTGAAGTCAGGCAGAAGGTAGGATGGGGTGTCACATTAGGTTAGGCACAGACGTTCAAAAAGCCTGAATTGATTCAAGCTTTGCAGGTTAGTCTAACCTAGCTAGGCTGAATCAGTTTGTAACTACACAGACATCCCAGAAATGCAGTGGCTTAGGCTAGAAGCCAGGGGGCACTAGACCTGCCCTCCCTTCCCTTCTTCAGTGCTGAGCTGAAGGGGCATGGCCAGGCCCTGGCAAGACACTCTGATTAGGGAGGGTCCCCCCTGCTTCCCAGCCAGCCCAGCAGGGAATTGATAACAGTGTTTATCACCCCTAACTCAGTGTTTATAATCCTATTAAAAAAACAACAGAGGGATGTTACCAGCTACCTGTTGATTCTGCCTTTATCCCATTTGCCCCAGAATGGACTGTAGCCAGCGTGTGGTCTGCTAACTAATGCTGAGAGGTGTCTGTGTAAGGCAGAAGGGAGGTAGGGAACAGGGGGAAACGAGGCAGATGGCTGCAATCTCTGCTGACCTCCAGCCAGAGAGTAGAGGGGAGGGGCCAGGTCAGCTGTGGAGCTGAGAGCCCTGCCCAGCACAAGGAGCATGCTGGGGGAGTCCAGTTTAACTTAAACCAGGGAGGGGTCTGGGACAGACATTGCATAAACCAGTTTGTCCCAAATCAGTTAAGTCTGATACTACATTCAACCAGGTTTATCTCAAACTGGTGTCAGCCATGTTCAAACTGGTTTATGTGCACTGAACATCTGTTCTGTTACAGGTTTAAACCAGTTTCTGATCACTTAAACTGGTTTATGTGTAATGGCTGTCCCTAGCCTTAGAGACTATCTGGTTCAGAGATAGTTAAAATGAGGTTTAGATGAAGCATCCAGTGGCCATTTTTAAACATGTGGGGGCCTAGAACTGCTCTAAATAAAATGCCACCCATCCCACCTCTGAGCATATGTACAGGCACCCCCTAGAGATTACCTGATTCAGAAAGGCATATATACTGTCCCCTACAAAATGCTTTGAGCGGTTCTAGGCCCCCACATGTTTAAAAATGGCCACTGGATGCTTTATCTAAACCTCATTTTAACAAGGTTTAGTTAAAGCACCTCACAGCCATTTAAAAACATATAGGGGCTTAATATATGTGACACTGCAGCAATATTGCAGCATTCTAATGAGAATATGGAACAGACTCAATTAATTGAATCAATTAATTGAGTCTGCTCCAATGCATCTGCTCGCATATGTTCTAATTATAATGCCAATGAGTACGTGGGGTCCTCCGTGTGTTTTACTTGAAGCAAAATGGTAATAGAAGGCCAAATAGAGTCCGAGACCAAAGTGTGTAGAAGGAAGCCAGCCATGATACCTACCTGAATGACAGACACCTTGTAAATTGAGATTACATACTTGCTTTTGAATTTATGGATTCATAGGTCAATTAAGTCTCTGCATTATGCTGACATACTCTCTTTCTCTCTCTCTCTCTCTCTCTCAGTTGTATGTAAATTCATCTACAAAGAGGAATTTTTGAGAGCATGCTCTACTGATTCCAACCTGAATTTTTAGGCACTTAAAGTAAAACAAACTGCAAATTTTGAGTCATTTAAAGGTTTTAGTGGCTTATTTGTGTTGGTTTGTTTTTGAATACACATTTGACGAAGGGCCGTATTTCAAAAGGAAAGAAAGAACAAAGACAGTCTTTGTCTCTCTCTTTCTTCCTCTCCTTTCCCAAATCACGTGCCTTCCTGTCCACTGGGTGGCCTGGACACTTAAGTCAAAAATGTATTTTATTCTTACTGGAGCCAAAGTGTCCAAAAAGCAAAAGATGAGTCCCATATTTCAGGCACTGGTATAAAACAAGGTTGAATGATGACAGACTGTGCTGATACAGCTTTACTTGTGCTCAATTTTTTTATGCTTCTGGTTTCTTTTGGAGATTTACAATAAGCATTTTTGTTCCTTAGGTTTTGACCCTAAAGTTTGTGAATTCTGTAAGAGCTTTTTAGGTTAAGCAATAAGTGCCCAGAAGCATTTGCATTCTCAGCTACAATTTCCAGAGTTTTCTGTCATTCCTTCCCAGCTTCATAGCTTGAAAGCATTCCTAGGTCTCCCTTTCTCACAAACTATGTTTTATCTCATTCCCAGATGTGTAAAAGAATGGAGAGGAAATCGTTGCCACATAAAGGTTACAACTCCCCAAACGCCAGGTTCCATTCTCCTTCAAAATGGTGGGTTTGATGGAAAGAAATAAATAGTATTCAAGCAATTCTTTTCAAGTTTACTTTTGCTTATTTATCTCTTTGATTGGTTTGACCTTGCAGATATTTGGACCGGGTTGGGTGTCGGATTAACTCTCTTGCTGATCAAAATTGCAGTCATTGTCTTCTGTTTCCTTTCAAAAAGGAAAATGCCAAGAACGTAAGTGAAACTTTATTGTGTACAAAATTAGATACAAATGTGGCACAAAGAAATGGACAGCTGCCCAGTTTCTTTGGTTTTAACTTGTATCTCCCCTCAGTCTATTTGCCTGAACTATGCAGCTGTAAAACCCATAAAACCCAGTTTTGCAAGACAACTGACCTTAGTGGACCCCACACTGGAAACAGTGAAACACATCTCAATTGCTTAGAATACCTTAAGTGCAACACAGTGTGGTTATCCCTAAATTACAGGATTCATCAGAGCTCAGCAACACCATCATTTTTTTCACTTAATGGTTAAATGGGAAAACATAGGAGATGTCTGCGGTTTCTCAAAACCTCTGAGGCCAAATTCAATTCTTAGATGCAAACTCATGGCTCCTGTTAAAGACACTAGGCATTGTGTATACCTCAAGGAGCAGAATTTTGCTCTAGATGCTTTCTTAAGAGTTGCAAAACATTAAAAAACTTTTCTTTCTGAAGCATTTTCCCTGTATGGGGCAATCAAATGGAATAGAATCATTTTTCAAATGGACACATTAGTATAGAAGAACTTAAAAGCTTTATTTATATAGCTATAATTAAATAAAGAATAAAACAAGAATTGTGAAAACACTGACTTATGTGCTCCCTTTCCCTACTCATCCTGCTTTGTTCCTATCTCTTCTACCACTTCGCATAGACCCTCACCTTATGTATTGGTCTCTGAAGTAGCCACACTGCCCTCCGTTCTGCCTGATTTCAGATTAACTCATTGAGAGAGGCATACATTTTTGTCCATGAAAGCCTACTTCATCAATTCATAGCATCTGATGAATCAAGCTGCCACCTGTGAAAACTCATAGTTTCATAGTTTCTAGGGTTGGAAGGGACCTGAGCAGATCATCTAGTCCAACCCCCTGCCATGGCAGGAAGAGCACTGGGGTCAAATGACCCCAGTAAGGTTGTCATCCAACCTCCTCTTAAAAACCCCCAGGGTGGGAGCCTGCACCACCTCACTTGGAAGCTGGTTCCAGAC